GTTTAGATCTAGCTACCTCAATACCCAAGAAGTATCGTAGCTCTCCCAGATCTTTCACCTCAAATTTTTGATGGAGTTGTTTGAGAGACTCAATCTCACCATTATCATTCCCTGTCACTACAATATCATCCACATATACAGCAAGCAAGGTCAAGGAAGAGTCCACTCTCTTAATGAACAATGTATGGTCTGACTGGGCCTGTACATAGCCGAACCTTTCAAGGGCTTGTCTGAATCTATCAAACCAAGATCTAGGGGACTGTTTGAGTCCATACAAAGCTTTATTCAACCGACAAACCTTCTTTCCTGTGTTTGCATCATAAAATCCAAGAAGCAACTGCATGTAGACTTCTTCCTGCAAGTCTCCATTGAGGAAGACATTTTTAACATCCATCTGGAAAAAGGGCCAAGAGTAACTAGCTGCAAGGGATAATAAAACTCTAATAGTGGTCATCTTTGCTATTGGAGCAAAAGTCTCCAAGTAGTCTATACCATAAGTCTGAGTAAATCCCTTTGCAACTAACCGAGCCTTATACCTTTCAATGGGACCATCAACATTATGTTTCACAGTAAATATCCATCTACATCCAACCGGTTTCTTCCCTTTAGGCTGGTCAACTAGCTCCTAAGTATTATTCCTCATAAGAGCATCCATTTCAACCTTCATTGCATCTTTCCACTCAGGAACTGACAAGGCCTCCTGCACTGTTTTGGGGATAGGAATATCAACAATAGATGTGAGGAAGGACCTGTAAGAGGGGGACAAGTGATCATAGGACAAGAATTGGGAAATGCAGTGGGCTGTGGATGTGGTGCAACGCCGTTTGCCTTTACGGACTGCAATGGGGAGGTCAAGGTCATCCAAAGGAGGTAAGGGCTCAACAGTGGAAGGTATCTCAGTGGAACCTGGATGTGATAAAGGAACTGTAGTACTTGGATCTGGATCCGCAAAAGGAACTGGGGCTGGCCTGGAATGCTGATGACCGAAATCAACCTGCCTCCACTGCCCGTGATAGACTCTCAAATCCCGGCACCTCTGGCACCCCTCCCCATTACATCTCTCATCACTCAATGGAACAGGTAAAGGAGCTTCTGATGAGTTAACCCCACACTCACTACTCTCCCCTTGAGGAAACCCTAGGATAGTAGAGTACATCCTCGAAGAAAGTAACATCCATAGAGACAAATCTTTTCCCAGAAGTGGGTTCATAGCAGCAATATCCCTTTTGAGTTTGTGCATAACTGAGAAAAATACATTTGGAGGCCTTAGGATCAAATTTGGAACAATGAGGTCCAAGGATCTGAACAAAGCAAATACAACCAAAGGTTTTAAGGGGAACAGTAAACAAGTCTTTATCAAGGTATAAGAGGGTAAATGGAGGCTTCATGTCAAGAACCCGTGAAGGAACTTGGTTAATGAGATACACTGCTGTAAGAATAGCATCTCCCCATAAACGAATAGACACATTGGAGTTAAACATGATGCTTCTAGCCACCTCCAATATGTGCCTATTCTTCCTCTCAACAACCTCATTCTGCTGTGGTGTATGAGGACAAGTACTTTGGTGGATAATCCCATGGTCAAGCAAATAGGAGGCTAATTGGTTGGCAAGTATTCTTTCGCATTATCGGATCTAAAGATTTTGATTTTGACCCCAAATTGGGTTAAAATCATCTGATGAAAGATCTGGGTCAAAGTAGGAACCTCATCTCGAGAACGCATAAGATAAACCCTATAGTCATCAACAAACAACAAGAAAGATCTGTACCCCCCCCCCCCCATAGCAGTGATGTGATAAGGACCTCAAACATCGATATGCACAATATCAAAAGGATTATTACTTCTTTTATTACTCAATGAATAAGATGTTCTACAATGTTTTGCAAGCTCACAACTCTCACATCTCAAATTGGACATCTGAACAGACTCAAATAAATCAGGAAACAAACTCTTCAAAGACCGAAAAGATAAATGGCCCAACCGATTATGCCAAAGCATAACGTGACTAATAGACTGAGAAACAAAAGACTTCCTATATTCACTATCTTCTCAATGTGAACTCTCTCCAAGCAGATAAATCCCATTCGTCTCACGGCCAGTCCCAATCACCTTCCTTGTCTCTAAGTCCTGAAAAACACATCGGTCAGGGAAAAATGTTACTGAACAATTCTGATGTTTTGTAATGCTACTGACTGAAAGCAAATTAGTATTAAGCTTAGGAACATGCAGAACTGAAGATAAGGATATGGCATTAGACAACTTGATGTCTCCCTTGCTAGAAATGGGAACAAGGGAACCATCAGCAATGGGCACCTTATCTCTGCCAGAAGATAAGTGATAGGTAGTGAACAGTGATGGAAAGCCAGTCATATGGTCAGATGCACCTGAGTCTATTACCCAACAATGTTCAGTGTTACCTGGAGTTGAAGCATGATAAGCTGAGGCCTGAGTACCTGAATGAGCAAAAGCTGATGTGGGAGTTGATGGTGGCTGAGATGATTGAGCTGAATTGCCAACTTCCTTTTCCAATTAAGTCAGGGCAGCCCGGACAGCAGCTAGGGTGTCTAAGGGTGTGCCTTTTGTACCTGATGAGGAGGCACAATCAGTATTAACGACCATATTAGCATTACCCCTTTTGTTCCTGAGTTTTGTTGAGACTAAATGAGGGTGCAACTTCCAACAGGTGTCTTTAGTATGCTTGGGTTTCTTGCAATGTTCACATACTAGATCCCGCTTGTCTTCCTTCTTTATATCCCTCTCCGTATCACCCCCAGACTTAGGTTTGACTGTTGCCAAGGCTGGTGGGAAGGGCTGATGTTGCATCATAACCTTTCTCCTAGTCTCTTCACTGTGCACTAAGGAGTAGGCTTGTGATAGTGTCACACTGTCTCTTGTYAGTAGTTGCTGTCTCACAATATCATACTCAGGATTCAGACCAGCTAGGAACTCAAAAACCCTATTAGTCTCAACCTGCTTTCTATGAGTCTGTGCATCCTTCTGGCTTTCCCACTCAAGTGTTTCTAGGTGGTCAATTTCACGCCACAAAGATTTCAGTGTAGAGAAGTAAACCGAGATTGGTTTCTCTCCTTGCTTAAGGTTGTTAACCTCACATTTCAGTTCACAAGCCATAGCAACATTAAGGGGTTGGGAGTAGGTCTCTTTCATGACATCCCAGATTTTCTTAGCTGTTTTCACCCACAAATAGTTCCGGCTGATATGTGGTTGCATAGAGTTGCACAACCAAGTCATAACCAGATAGTTCTCCTGAACCCATTTGGTATAGGTTTGGTCCTCCTTAGTTGGTTCTTTCACATCTCCCAACAAGTAGCTCAGTTTTCCCCTACCCCCAATGGCCATCATGGCCGATTGAGCCCATTCTAGGTAGTTTGATCCATCAAACTTAACTATTGTAATCTGAAAAGTATTCTCATATATGTTACAAGAATTGCTAGTTCCAAAAACACCTTCCTCTTGACTCTTGAACTCCATTCTTGATTAAGAATTAATAAAAAAACCTTTTTTTAATTACTGTAATAGGAGAAACAACACCCAAACAACTGATAACAGCTGGCCTAGGTCTTCCAAAGAACATAGAAAACGGAATTCTGAATGAAACCAGTTCAAATTCTGATCTGAAACAAATAACAATTCTGAATTTCAGGGTTTTCTCTCAAAACCCTAAAGAAAACACAAAAAATTCTGAAGTCGCACCTCTCAGACTAAACCAAGATGATCTTTTCTGAACAGAATCACAAGAAAAAGCTTACTTTATGAAAAAATCTTTGGCCGCCACCTTTTGGTTGATGCAAAACCCTAATCTTGAGGATCCGAAGCTTCTTCTGATTCTTCCTGACTACTGGAACTCTCCCCAGACTTCTACAATCTCTTTAGCAGCAGTCGCACACTAACAGTAACCTCCAAGAATAAGCCGATCCTCCTTCCTTGTTGAAAAACTTCCAAACCTAGGAGGTTCTCATGCAGTCGGCCTAATCAGATTAGCATAAGAGCTCCTAGGTTGGCTCTGATGCCAAGTAGTCGATCTAGACTACAATCAGTCTTGAATTAAAAGAGAAAAAAGATGAAAAATTGAAGAGAAGAAGAAGAGAAGAGAGGAAGAAAAGAAGTACACGAAGAGAGTTTCAGAAAAGAGAGAGGTCATAATTTCTACCAACCCTCTCTTAGTATTTATAACTATTGGCCAACTGTAAAAGGGATGAATTGCCCTTATTGCTTACATGGCAAATAGAATAAGAAAGAACTAACTGAAATAACTACCAACTAACACTGCCATATCTAACAGAGATGTTGCTGCCTTACGAACACTGTGGGGACCACATCAGTGTTCTTTACAGTAGTAGTAGAAAATGTGTTGATTAGCAAAGAACACTGATGTGGTTTCTCTCCTTGCTTAAGGTTGTTAACCTCACATTTCAGTTCACAAGCCATAGCAACACTGTGGGGACCTCACATTTGCGATGAACTTCGGACATCAGTGTTCTCTATTGTGATTCTATGGTTCTGTAATGGTTTTGGGTTCATCGCAACTCTATACGCGTCCGAAGTTCATCGCGGATCCGCACGCGTCTTTATAGATCATTGTAGATTCATGCATGTCTAAGCTCTATTGCAAGTTTATGTATGTCTAAGGTTTACGCGGATTCGCGCTAAACGATGTTCATCGCAACTAGTTTTGAGTATGAGTTCATCGTAATCACAAAAATGCGATGGGCTTACCGCAAATGTGCAATGGGTTATGGATTCATCGCAGGCATCCATGTAGCGTTGGTTTGACACCCTCTATACTTTGATGGTCTTAGCGACCACTATGTACCTACAACAACATTTAGCAATGTTTGTATTGATTAAATCCTAACAAATAAGAAAATAATAAAAACAAATTAGTATATAAACACACAAAATGAGTCTTTTAGTTTAATACTGCCTATTTTATAATTATAATGTCAAAAAATAAAGAATAAAAAGGTATTTTACAATACATAGTACAAAACTGCTAGGTGATTAGGCGAGGCGAGCCTCAAAGGGTACCTTGTCGCCTAGGCGTTGCCTTGACAACTATGAATATTACTAATGGTTCTAGTACATTACAAACAAATAATTGATCCTCAATTGTTCAAACATGCATGACATGTTTATGAGAGAATGCTACTTGGTGCATAAATCTGGATGATCTAAAGGGTGCCATGTTCTTGTAATGTAGTTCTTCTTCCTCAATATGTAATTCTAGATACACTTTTTGAATATTTGTCAACAACATTCAGTGCCCACTATTTTCTTAGTTATCATTTGTTTATAATCACTTATTATATTTATATTTTTTTTTTTCTTTTCATGTTTTTTAACAGCTATAATTTATTTGATCTTGTTGATCACTTCCATACACGAGGACTTTACCGTTCCATCTTCCTACGGTACTGACTTTCTATTTTTCTAGTTGATATTTGTGCAATTATGGTAAGCTGATCTCATAGAAATTATGGTTTTGAAATGCCATTACAGCATAATGGAAGGGGAACAATCCTTACGACGAGTTTCACCTGAAGTAATGGTGCAGGACCCAAGCCTTAAAACTGCAGTTTCTCTCCTTCCTTGTATTATCCTTTTCCATGGGACTGCAGATTATTCCATTCCATCAGATTCCAGGTTATTAATATCCTGAAATTAACTTCTTGATATTGTCAAAATAGTTTGATGTTAATTTCACATATGATTAACTGTTTATTCAGGTTTGTAGGTTACATGGCTGCTGTTCCCATGAATATGTTATTTCCTGTCATTCCTGTTGCTATTGATTAATACCCCTATTCTAAGTTTTTCTGACTTATTTCAACTTGAAGACTATTAAAGGGAAACTGAAGCATCTTTTTGAAGAATGAAAAAATACACTAGTTCATGTACAACAAGAAGCTATAGATATGGTAGATTGAACACGCAAAATGAAAACTGCTAAAACAAAAATAAAGATCACCCAAACATGAATAGAGCATGAAAAAGAAGTAAGATTTGGGTGTCATATCCCTGAATCTGTTAATCACAGATAGACAAGAATGCATTGTTCTGCTGCCTTCTAAGCGTCATCTTCTCTGAGAAATGTTCTCAAATATAGACACATTTTTTGCAGGCCAAATTGGTCATTTAATTGCAAAGGGAAGGATTCTCCAGTTAACCTTGCCTCTTTTACTTAAACAATTAATTTTGCCTTTCCTATAATGGATTGTGGATGGAGAGAAACCAACTAATATGTAGTGGATTCAAAAAAATATTATTTGAAAGTGGAGCTTAAAGGGAATTGCATAAATAGATGTTCTGATCAGAGAAGTTTCCATACCTTCTCAACAATTTGACTCTTGTAAGGTACTTAACCAAGACTGTTCTCCACACCATAAACAACACCTTAAAGAAACAGGATGCCCCCAAATCTCCTTGTGGAGAAAAGAATCAGAACCCAAAGAATTCAACTATTAGAAGAAAGGTATCAAGAAAAATTCTGATTTGTCCTACATCCATATTCTTGAATCAGCAGATCCTGGTGGAGGTGGGTAGTGGGCACCCTGTGCTTTTTATAGAAACTCATTATTGTTACTGATTTCCAGTCATTAGAAGTTTTGCCATGCATATAACCAATAAAATAGATAATGGTTTACTTTTGAGCCAATTGTCTTCCAATATTCTAGGTAGAGTTTAAGTTGATCGTGATTGCTTGGTGAATACAGCTTGCATGCTTTACCATTGGAATGTTCAATACATGTCCAACCAAAAAAGATAGTTCCAGCATGTCATTATGCATTTTAGAAGGAAAAAGTAATGTAATTGCCTCATATCTTAGTCTGTAACAGTAGGCATTTCGATGTTGACTGTTTTGAGTGGCATTTGGACATTAAAATAATTAGATATCTTTAGTTTTTCTTCATTTTGACAGACACAAAGTGATTCACATGCTAATACCAGATAATATCATGTTCCTCCATGCAGTAAATCCTTTGCAGAATCTCTTCGGAGAGCCGGATGTCAAGCTGAAGTAATTTTGTATGAAGGAAAAACACACACAGATGTGTTTCTTCAGGTCAGGATAAATACCAGTTTTTGCCCCTATATTGCTGAACTGAAATTTTAGTTTCAAAATGTTATTGGAGCACTCTTATATCTTGTGCTGCTTAAGGTGATTCTGTAACTTTGTAGATTAAATGATAGGAAGTTTTCTGACCTTAGTAGTTCATATTATAATAGGGCAAATAAATGTCATATGAGATAATCAAAGAGATACTCAATTTTGGTTTAAGCTTCATGAGAAATTAACTGCCAAAGAACTTAATGAGATAATCATAGGGGAAACATCTATGATCAAAGGAAGCTTCTGGCACTCAACCTGCCAAAGAGAATCAATTTTGGTTTAAGCTCCATGGGAAAATAACTGCATATATTGCAGAATGTTGCTTGGTGGAATGGTAAAATCTTGGGCTGACAAGCATGAGAGCGGGTTCATGTCTGAGAACAGGCACTTTGTGCAAGTAAATGATGAAGGTAAGGTCTTTATCCAAGGATCCTGGATAGTCAGGGCTAGCATTGGGTAATGACCCTTTGCATTGTCTTGTAGCATTCAAGTTTTTTCTCTTTTATCAACAAGTCAAGTGGCTTCAGTCTGAACTAAACTTGTACTATTAAAAACTTAATGGTATTAGCAGTGCATATCTTTGCAACATTTGCTTGCTACATTTCTCTCCTTCACATCAAGATTCAAGTGTCCAAAAGTTTCACCCAGCTTCTCTGAGTTAGGGAGTGAACCATATCATTAATTGAACTTGACCATAAAATTGGAAAGGGAAATCCCTGATGGATATAGTTTAAACAATCATACTAGATTGTTGTATTACTATTCTTCCAATAGTTTAAGGACTTGACTGAACTGCTAGCTGTTTCTGAATGGCTATAGTCCAGACTGTAGTATGGCAGAAGCACCCATTTCTGAAGGTGCAAAACATAATTGGGCTATTTCTCGAAGTCCGAGGGGATAACCAAATCAGCAGTGCTTTTCTTTGATTGTCCTATTTTGGCCGTGTGCTTGGTAGTAGCAGTCAGATACAAGTGAAAACCTCCATTTACAAGACGGGTGCACTAGAGTAGATACTTGCTATCATGAAGTTTCCATATTTCTTTTCATGCAAAAGGAAAAGATGTTTTGGTAAAATTAAGTTCCTTGAACTTGTGTGTATGCAGGATCCCATGAGAGGTGGTAAAGATCAATTACTTGAGGATGTAGTTGCTGTCATTCATGCAGGTGATGGAGAAGCCATCGCTAAAGATGCAGCTGCACCTCCAAGGAGACGCCTTGTTCCTGAATGCATGTTGCAGTTGGCTCGTAGGGTCAGCCCCTTCTAAGAATTTCAGTTTCAAGATTGATTGCAAAATTCTGACACATTGGCCCATAATTGTATTGTTCTACTTTTAGTTTCTCTCCATCTTTGTACATAGTGCTAGATGATTTATAGCGTCTACGGATATATTTATTCTTTGACTTATTACCATTTTGTCTGGTTACTCTTCATAAAAAATGTTATGTACAAGAAATGTGGAATTAGCTTAGGCTGGTCCTCACTACCTATTACCTAATCCCTTTACATTTCAAGCATTTTACAAATCTCCCCGATAGTGAGACCCCAAAACATTTGTTCTCTATGTCTTGCAAGTGAATCAGCAAAGGTGTTGGCTTTCTTGGTATCCATTTTACTCTAATATAACTTATCTCCCTTTCTATGATACTTAATTCTCTTAATATGTGACTGCAATGCCAAGTCCCTTCACTGTTTTCCTAATCCACCTTACAATGTTTTGAGAATCTCCTTCACCAATGTTATTCAATTCAAGTCTTGTATACAGCCTCAGCCCTAGTGGCTAGTAGAACTGCCAACATTGTCTGGTTACTTATTTTGTGGTTGACTGGTTATCACATGTGCAGAATGGGGTATGCTGTAGAGAGTGAGCTTGATTGAACCGATTAGGAACTTTTTTCTATTGCCAGGGAATAGACCCTTTAGTCTGGTCGTTTGGAAATTGCTAAATGACCTAAGAAAGATCAGCCCATGTGGCAACATTGTCAGAGGCCGAAGGGGCCCCACGTGTAGGGTTGTGTCAATGGACTGGATATTGGTCCAATCCAATCTGGTCCAGTACGAGTCTATTACAAATGGATCAAGTCCAATCTTACAATCCAATGCTTACTTTGGACCAATCAGGACTTGTCCAACTCAATGTCTGGACTGTCCAAACCGTTCAAATTGGTTTAGTTTAGATTGGGTCCAACCCAAACCTGGTCCATTAACACCCATACTCTTATCTTATGTCAATGAACCAAATATTGCTCCAATCCAACCCAGTCCAATATAAATCCATTACAAATGGACCAGGCCCAATCTAATCCAATAAATAATTTGGACCGTTAAATCTAGACTGGTCCAATTCAATATGTCTTATTGGTGGTCCCTTCAAATTGATTTTGATTGGCATGGGTCCAACCCAAACTCAGTCCATTGACACCCCTACCCAAGTATTTTACCTTGGACCTTACAAGGGCTATTCATCAGACAAGTTTCAGCCAAAAAATGGATTAAGGACCGTATTTTCCAACGTTGATAATGCTGCAACATCAGGTTCTTGGTTCTGTGGTGTGAAGAGTGCCGTCTACAATTGATGCGTTGATTTAGCCAAAATAAAAAATAATCCAAATATGCTATTTCGTCTCCTTTTCTTTTTTCTTGATAATTGATTTTTCATCTCTTAAAATTAAAAATTCCTCCTTTTCATGGTGGCTCTTTGCATTTGGTCTTCAACCCAGATGACTGTCCACACGAGATTCCGTAACGGTGTAGCCATATGCCATCATATTGATGCAGGTTCTTTGAAGTGTGGACAATGGCTATTTCCGAGGTCTTGTCTAAATATAAGAGGTCAACACTTAAGAGTTAAAGACCAAATCCATCACTTCTTATCCAGGATTTGTACATTAATTTGCTCAACAACTCACCGTCTCACCAGTCCCCCCCAACAACCAGCCATAAATGGGGAGATTGCATGAATCTTTTGGCTACCAAAGTTATAAGCAACGTGTGAAAGTAGGTTGATATGGACTCGGAATGAATGGCGTTTTCAGAGTCAACATGTCCTAGAGGATAGAGCTGACAAAAGCTCCAACCATAAATAGTGCTGAAGATTAATGGTTTTCTCATCTCACCAGCATTAATTTCTTAGTCCTTAGCTGTGAGAACTGATAGGAACAGGAAGAAGATGCTTCAGAAGGTTGCCATCACCATCTGCATTCTCTTATTTTCGCTTCTTTTAGTCCCCTCGGAGATAGCTGCTCGGGAATTAGCAGAAGCGCCCACAGTGACTAAAACTGAGCACAGTTCTTTTGTGGGTCATGCGTCCCTCCACTCCAGTGAGTAGCAGTCATCAACTCAAAATGGTTTGCTTAATTTTGATTGCTCGTCATACAGATATGGTAGTGTTTTTTGGTGAAAGTGGATCTTAATACACCCTCCATGTTTGGTGCAGAAGAGGAAAGACACAAACACAGGCATGCTGATCACAGCCACGGAACTACCCAAGCTGCTCCTCCAGTACCAGTAGTAATCTATGGCCCGGGTGATCCCGTTGGTCGCCGATGAAGACTGGGAGTTTTGAGTTATGGGGTTCATGAGAATGTGGCTGTTTTCGATCCCATGGATCAATTGGTTTGTATTTGAATAAGATGTAAAGCAACTATGATGATGTAGAAAGACTTTGTATTGACCATTAATAATATATGATGAGGTCAAGAGAAATTTCTAATGTGAAACGTTCAGGTTTGGAAGTATGTTCATCGTTCGGTGGGCTAGCTAATAAATACCAAACAGCATGACTACTGTGTGTTCAATTCTTGTATTCTTGGCTTAATTCATAAGACAGAAATTAAGTTGGATATATACATATATGTTCACAAGGGTTCCGCGTTATTGGGCGGAGAAAATTCAAGAGTTGCATGAAGGAAATGAAGAATACCAGTAAACCAAGTCTTTAGGCAACTCTCGCAACTTCTTCAAATGGAAGTCTTTTCGATCCACTGGTCCCGTCTTTCTTTGTCTACATTGAAACAATTCCAGGAGTTGCATATACACGTTGTTTACCAAATATTGTAGCGTATTGACCATAAAGCCCATAGTCGTATTGGTTCCCCCGAAATAGAAGAGATGGGCACTGCAGTAACTTTACTATTGGACAAGGACGTAAGTCTTCGGACTGTAGGTCATTATGGGCTAGAATTTGATCATTGGGCCCACTGAAGACTAAACCAACCAAACCCGTTTTCCTTTTACCAAGAAAGACACAATGAGAAATAACAAGCGAGTCAAGTTTGATCCATCACTGCGATTGAATAATCAAGGTTATATTTTATATTTGGCTTGAAAGTTGAGGGAAAGTTCTTCATGAAAATCCCTGATGTTTATTAATTATTTTAAAGACTGATACAAAGTTTCTGGACAACGTGAATGTGGGTTTTCAGTTTGATATATACTTGTCAATGAGTCTACCTGATTAACGAGGAGATGGAGTTGAAAGCATACCAAAGCACACAGTACACAAACAGACCCTCTAACCGTGTCTGTATAAATAGGGGTGATGGCTTTAACCCTCTTACCATCTCATCATCTTATTAACTTTCTCTGCAACAAAATGGTTCAGAAGGTTTCTCTTGTCATTTGCATCCTACTATTCTCTGCTGTTTTCATTCCATCCCAAGTAGCAGCAGCAGCTAGGGAATTGGCTGAAGCACCCACAGTCAAGAAAACTGAACACAGCACCCCTGTTGTAGTTCATGCATCTCCTTACTCCAGTGAGTATTAGTCATCACTTCAAATTTCTCAGTTTGAATTTAACATGCAATATGCAACTGCTGGTATAATGTTTTATATACTGATTCATTTGACAAACAACATTCTTAATATACTCATTCCATTATATATGTTGTTGCAGAAGAGAAGAGCCACAACCATGGACACGCCGATAACGGTCATCGAACGGTCGAAGCCCCTCCGGTCACGGTCTATTATCCGGGTGACCCCATTAGGGTTTAACCACTTCAGAAGGTAGAGAAGCTTGTAATGGAATAATGTACTTGGTGCCCGCAGGCATGGTCCTGGGCTTAGAATAATTGTTGATTTGGAGGGTATTATGAGGCTGCAATATGGTTTGTATTAATGCTGTGTAGAAAAAGTAGTACTACATGTTACTGAATATATGGATTTTTTATCATCAGTCAGCTTGTATTTGGAACAAGATGTGGAGTAAGAAGTTTGTGTTAATTTTTTATGAGCTAGACTGCTAGAGGCAGCGATCAAATATATAAATCTTCAATCAATTAATTTGAAACAGCGGATGAGAAACTTTGTTTTTTTTTTTGGGCAAAAGAGAGGATGAGAAACTTGATTCCCTACAATTGCATAGCGTATGGCATTGATTATTTAGTTCTGTTCGATCAGTTCAGCTGCAGTTACCAAACGGCCCCCTCAGCGGATTCCTAACTTTGCCTAGTCAAGGTTTTAAATATTGACAGGCACCATAAACATGTTTTGCCTATTGCGTGAAATATCCCTCTGATAGAGTTCTGTCAATTAGTTTTTCAAATATAACATTGAAGTCCTCTGTTTGTTCCAATAGATTCTTGTAGATATTCAAATGAAATGCTAGAGGTTTCTTTCTTTCTAATAGATATAGATTTATGGTTTCATTTGTTTTTTCTTGATTTATTAGAGAAAGGAATGGATATTTTTTATATTCTAAGATGAAGAAATACATTCATATCAGTGAAATATTAATGAATCAAGAGTTAAAAAAAAAAAAAAACTTTTTTTTCTATGCCGGTGGAATGGTTTTTGTTATTTTAGCTGGTTTTGTTTGGAGAAAATGGAGGTACTTCTTGTCAATTAGGGTCTAAGAGAAAAGGGCAATGACAAAAAAATAAGGAAAGTTCAAGTGGGTATTTTGATAATTTAATACATCCCATCGTCTGATTTAACGGTTAGGGGGTATTTGTTGCAAAGTGAAAGTTTAATGGGGTCTTTGTCACAAATGAACGTTCAATGGGGGTAGTTTTCACTGACCCTATAGTACAAGGGGGTATTTGTAATTTTCCCTTTCTAACTTTTTTAGCCTGATTTTCTTTTCTTCATGATAGACATGTTAGGAGGGGGTTCAACTATGATGCAAGAAAGACATGATACTGAAAAACTTATGACCAATCAACCAACACCGTAAAATTAGTAACCAATCAGATAGGTTTTCATCAGAATTCATAGGGGGTTTTCATTGTTCAAAGAGTGTCATGTCTTTCTGAGATTATAGGTTTTTTCTTACTTATTTGGCATAGTAATATTTATATATTTATGGAATTTACAATTACTTGATATTGAGGAGTATAAGTTTTTCCTCTTTGCAACAAAACCTCTTTCACAAATTGTGTTTTTTCTTTCTACACTTTATTTTTTGTCTCTATCTACATTTTTCTGTAATTTTGTCATAATTGTTGTATTTTTAGTGTTTCTGTATTTTTATAATTTTTGTCTTTTCTTCTTTGTTGTATTTTCTGCAATTTCCTCTTTTTATTTTATTTTATTTGTGTATTTTTCTTCATTTCTTTTCACTGTATTTCTTGCATTGTTTTCAAAATTAGACCGGACCGGACAGTCGAATCAGAAAAACCGGGAGTTCTGTTTTCCTCCAAAACCGCTTTTTCCCTCAAAACCATTGATTTTGGTCAGGAAACCGCTGAACCGGCTGGTTAACCGTTCAAACTGTTTTAACCGTTTTTCAATATTTTAATTTTTTTTTTGTCAGAATGGGCCGGCCATTCAGGTCAAACGGTCGGACCATTCGAACCGGTAACCGGACCCTTGGCTGATTCGGTCACCAATTCGTTTTTAAAAACCACGATTTCTTGTATTTCCTGCATGTTCCTACTTTTCCTTCAATTTTTGTTTTTTTTATCAAATTTCTATAAAATGGTCTTATAAAATGATATAAGGGGATTTTATGGCTTTAGAAATATTCAAACATACACATAGCAGTCACATAAGAATCTTTTCTAAAGTTAATTGACACAATGCCAATGGTGGGGGCAAAGTGCTGAAATTTAAAAGTTCAAGGTGGGTCTCTATTGCAACCACTAAAGTCGGAGGAGGCAGTCTGTAATTCATCCAAAATTTTATTATTTATTATTTAATAAGTATTTATTTGTTATTGACTTGACTCGGTTGACCCAAGGAGTCAAGTCTTTTTTTGATTTCCTCGTGGATTCAGCATTCTGTCCACGATGCTGCCTTTGTTGAAAACCTTCATTGGCCATCAAGTAGGATTTGAAATGTGTCATTGGCTATTAGTATGATTTGGAAATGACTAGAAAAGGTTCAAATAGGCGGGTCACATCTTATCTGGTGGAGGTCCTCTTGCCATCAGATTGGAATCTAGCAGCACATCCACACTCCACTTTGTATTATCATATAACATGCCTCAACTAATGACACTAGCCATAAGTTCATCTCCATGGTTGGGGACCCTGGTCAAATATGGGGGATAGAACTTTGAAAGCTTGTAAGGCACCAAGTAAAGACTGAAATCTATCTATATATCTTGATGATAGAATTAATATATCATCATTCAATTTCCTAACTTAATTACCACCAGTCCCACCACCACCCTAGCTCTCATCTCTATATAAATTAACCAGTCACAGAACCATAACAATATGGCTATCAAAGGCAAAGCTTCTCTTACCATTTTCTTCCTCTTGCTTTCCATTGTTTTCGTTCCCATGGAGGTCGCCGCCGCCGCCGCCGCTCGGAAATTAGCCGAGACTGCTAACACCGGCAGTGAGTCGTCTACTCTCTGGCCTATATTTTCTGGTTGTTTTTTGGTTACAAAGTGGGGTCTGTGGTTCAGTACTGGAGAGCCCAGTTTTGTTCAGAATTTGATTATTAATCTGTAAGTTTTATGAAGAGGAATTAAAGAAGATAAAAGTAGAAAGTTTGTCATCGTTGTTAAAGAGAAGATTCAGAGGCTGTACAGCACAGTGAATGGCGCATCGATCAATTTAAGCTGATCTACGTGAAGCTAGTTTGGTGAATCTGTACCAAACCAGATGATTAACAGATTCATGCAGCTAAAGCTCGATGGAAGAAATTTCCATTATCTTATGCGAGTCAAATGTATGCCAATTTGTGGAAGCTACCCAATTAATTTTGATTTTTAGTCAATCTCTATACAATTCTAACGTGTGAATGACAAATTTTGGAAGCTAGCCACCCAATTTTGATTTAGTCAAATTGCTTCTGAAATATGTACAGATTCACAATTTTCATTGCTTTTCTTTCTTTGAATTGAATCTTAAGGTGGTTATCCAGGGAGAGAGAGAGAGGGGTTGGGAGGGGAAAGTATCTGATGCGACTGTGGTCGCATGCTACCCACAACGAAGTGAATTCAAAATTAAAGCACCACCCTTGGAAAGTAAATTCAAGACCAACTGGGCAACTGACTTTAACCTTTGTGGATTTGTGTACCCTTAACTTTGCACATTGAAGAGAAAGAAAGAACTTGGCACAGAAAAATAAATAATAAGAGTAGAGACCATCCAGAAGATCTATGTAGACCCTTAAAATGTAAAATTGAAGTTAACAAGAAATGATCGAATCCCCCCCCCCCCCTTTTTTTTTCTTTTTCTTGATTTTTTGCTTTCTTAATATTTTGATTTTTTTCCTTATTTTATTTTTTCATCATCATCTCGTTTTTCTGTTCTCTTAGCTTTTACTGTTCTGACTCTTTTATCTTGTCATGCTCTTTAGGCACTAGATAGTTACATAGAAATTGTACAAGTAATAATAAATATATAATTTAAATCTTGTTAATAAGCTATTTCTAATAAATAAATGCAATTTTCAATATCTAAAAAGAAATCATTTGATAACAAAACAAAGCAAATAAATCAATTTATAATTTGATAGTTTAATAAAATCAAGATTACTATAAATTAGTTTGAGTGAATTTCATATCTTAATTAGTTTTAAAGGGGAGTCTTCATTAACTACTTACATACTTTTCTTTGGTCCAGGTTATATCAGGTTTGAGATGTAGTTAGATCCACCCATCTAGGGTTTAAAACAGATCGGATCTTGATCAACTCGAATTAGAATCTGATCCTATTTTGCTAGATTTGATCTCTATTAGATTTTTGGATCGGATTGAATCGATATATATATATCTGTGTGTGTGTGTATTTTTATAAATTAATTTTGTAATATAAATATATTTATATTTAATTTATAATTTGATTTGTAAAAAAGCATGCATATTCCCATTTTTCTGCTTAATTATAAATAATGTTTGTTTTTTTTCCTTTATATAAACTCTTTTTTTTCATGTTAATAATTTGTTAAATTTTACAGACCTATTGGTAATTATATCAGATTGGATCAGATTCAGATATCTAATGTCCTAAAAGAATTCAAATTTGAATTAGCCTTTTGTAAGATCCATCAGATCATCGGATAGATCCGGATCGAATATAGGATTTTGGATTTACATTGTGAGATCGGATTCAGATATATCCCGTTTTGAATTCAATTAATCCAATCCATTTTCATCCCTACCCATCTACACTTAGGGATGGGTTGGGTTTGGGCTGGGTTGGCCGCTCTAAACCTGACCCAACCAGCAACTTCCCACTACTCCCCATACAAGAGTGATCAAATATTTAGGGTGTCAACGGTCGGGTTCGGTATGTGTTTAGCTTAATCCAAACCTGACCGGATGCAACTTCAACCCAAACCCGACCCAACCTGTTTCACATATAGTAGAGTTGTACTCAACCAAGCCCATATAAACAAAGATTTCAAGGCTGCAATATGAAAATGGCTCGGGTCCAGCGCTGGTCCACTCTGACCCAAATCCCGAATAATTCAACCCTAACCTGATAAGATCGGGCTAATGCGGATTTACCACTTAACCCGACCCACTATTTGACATTATTAGATGAATTCAGTAATAGCAGGTAGAAATTAGAAATGTCCAAATAATAGCTCACTCTTTAAGTATATGCTTCTTTTTTTATTTCATTAGGCTGAGCCTAATAAGCAAAGTACATGGAAATACAGGATCCAACTTTCACACTAATATATTTAATAAGGAGGGACGGCCATAACTCCTCATTTGGTGATGAACACTCTTCATATTCAGCACTCTAGCCATTCTTATAAGTTCATCCCTCTAGTTAATTCTTTGCTGCAGGTTTGGCACTTTTTGCCTACAAAATCATCAAATAGCAAAGCCATAAATATGTAAACAGGATCATCCAAAAAAAAAAAAATGTAGACAGGGTCTTGTGAGAAGGGATAATTCTTAACATGATCCACCAACCCGGCCCAGTTTTCTGTTCTCAAGTTTGGGTTCTTAGAGTCTTGTGTACTGGACTATCCAAACTGGTTCCAAATTCAGCCTTTGTTCAACTTCAATCCTGGGCTGATTGACCCGCTATGGACTATGGAGCTGAACCAACACATTTTGCCAATACACAGACTCCATAACTTTTGGGTAAGAGCTGTAAAGGGGTTGGATTTGGAGTACAAATAATATTTCATTTGTGAAACATGGTGTCAAATCACAGATGAAAACATATTCTTCAAGCTAGAAAAATAATACTTTTTTTTTTTATTTTCAGTTTTAGAAAAACAATACTTTTTTTTTTTTAATTTTCAGTTTTGAGAACCGATTTGTTTTTAAACAGGATAATTTTGATTTGCCTTTTCTTTTTGAAAACCCACAACAAGAAAGACAATTCAGGAGAACACCCCCACCCTCAAAGTTTTCACTGTAAAATAGGTGAAAATAATGGCAGAAATATTTTGCCTGAAAATTTTAAGTCCACCTTATTGAGGAACAAACAGACCCTAGCTAGAACCCATCAAAAAACAGAGCCCTAGTGAAAAATACAATACTTGAAATAACATTTCTAGCAAACATATGTTAATTAGTTTCAAATAAAACCAACATATGCTAGTTATAAGATCCGATTGTAAAAATATATCGTGTTTTTGAGATCCAAATCTTGGATCGGATTATAGATTCATAATTAGACTAATAAAGTTTCTAAGGAGGTTTAGAGAGCACTTCCCTCAAAGGGTATGTTTGTTTCTAAAGAAATTAAAGAGAAAAACAGAAAGTTGAGGGAAAGTTCTTAACAAGATTTGTGAAATTCCTCATGTTCTAAGCAAGATTTGTGAAATTTCTCATGTTCTTAACAAGATTTGTGAAATTCCTCATGTACTTTTAGAGGTATAAATCAGGTCATGCCATCCAGACATGATTTTGAACCGGCCTAGCATGACCTTGACACAATGGATTGTGAGTCATGTCAGGCATGACATGATCATTTGGGCCGTGCTCAGCCTAGGATTTCAGATCCATGGGCCGGTACGGTATGACATGACTGAACAGGCCATGTCACCCGCGGCCCGCATGCCAGCATGGCCTATATAAATATTTATATATTATATATTATATATATAATATGTATATGTATATATTATATAATAGATTAATATATATATTATTTTCAATTTTATTGTATTATTTCATTTTATTATTATATATATAAACAATTGTATATATCAAAATTCATATAAAATAAAATTTTAAGATCATTTTTTTGTATATATTTTTTATTTGTTAAAATTTTTATTATTTTTTTAAAAAATTAAAAAACATGGCTTGGCCCGGTCTGGCCCAAGGCTCGGCCCACAAACCAGCCCGGCCCATGGCACGGAACGGGCCCACATGAGCTCAGGCCGTGGTCCATGCCGGGCTGATTCCCCAAAATATGCCAAGGGAGAAAAGCACGGCCTGACTCAGCCCGCGGGTCGTAACGTACTGCCCAGCACAGCCCAATTTACACCTCTAGGTACTTTCCTCAACTTCCTGTTTCTCTCTTCCTGTCAAACCAAACACAACCCAAGTAACGACTGGAACTATAAAGACCAGAACCATCCCAGACTCCCAGTTTGAACCAGATGACCTAAGCTGCTATTACAGTCTTCTGTCTCAAGTCTCAAAAAGAAGTTAGCGTAGATTAACAGCAAAACAAAGAAAAAGAATACAACTACATCAGCAATCTGAAGACTAAAGTCACAACCATCATAGCCATGCATTGCATGCACGTATGTATATACCTTCTTCTTAGGCTCCCGAGGCTTCTGCTCTGCCTTCTTCGGGGCCGGCTTGGAGGCCGGAGCTTTGGGTGCACCCTCATTAGTCTTTACAGGAGGTCTCTCAGCCTTCATCGATGCCATTCTTCTCAAGGGTCAAGCGCACAACACACTCTTACACAATCAGGAGTGGAGAAGGTTGGCTACCTTGTTGGCCTCGAGTATTGCCTTCTCCAGGCCAAGCTCTATTTATGGTTGCCTACACCGTTATGACATGGAATTAGAATCTCTAACAAGAAAGATGATTAGAAAAGGATGGGACGAAAGAGAATGGAATAATATGAAATGGAGGGAAGATGAATGGTATGGTATAAGATGCTCCATTCACATCTCCTCAGAAAGCCAATCTTAACTCTTAAGGCATCTATAGTGATGTCTGTGTAGATAGATATCTCTACGGATAGATCTTCCTGCGAGAATGCATTAATTGCAGGATCTGTTTATTCGAGTCCAAAGCTGGACCATGCATCAGAAGACCCACAATCAATCAATGGCATGCTTATCCTGAATATTTACTAAATAATTACACCTGCAATCAATCAATGGAGAATCTAAACAATATGCTCAACCAGGTCTAACCTCAGTTTGATTTACTTAAACCTTACACTACTCAAGTCTTCCAGGTAAGGTTAGCAGAGGCTATACTGGATGATTATATCAGAAGACCCACAATAAAGTTAAGCAAATAAACTTGCTTAGTCATCTAGGAATTCCCGAAAGCCCAAATAAAACTCTGAAAATTTAAGCCCATTTTCATCATGATTAACAACCATTGGAGTTATTATTGTAGTTTTGACATGAAAGTACTTTGATTGAAGGTGAAAGATCAAGTCTTGTAAATACAGGTTATTTACTCTGTTTCTAGGATTCTATTATGTAATAGTTAATCATTTCAAAGTGAAACAGGAAATGACTGAATTCATATTCTGTTACATACTCATACATGATGTTAACTTCTGAAGTCGGCCAAAGTTTTAGTTAATTCACCTAGAGAATTAGCTTACACACACACACACACACAACACACAATAATAGAGTTAGGCTGACCAAATTGAGTTTAATTCCTGCCTTATGGGTTTGCACTGATGAAGGGAAAGGGGAGTAAAAACCTAAAGCTGGACCATGCATTCCTTTCCTCGGAATTTAGCATTACCTTCCCCAAGAGAGGGACCTCTACCAGTCAAAATTTTCAAATGTTTGAGTGTCATCGCCCACTGTTTACACTTGGTCATGAAGTTGATATGTTAAAACATTATTCTTGAACTGAATATCTCTTTCCACAAATCTAAATCCACCACAGCAGATGTATTAACACTGGGAGCCCAAGACTCATCCAATTGGTAAAAAACCAATATTTCATTCCAAGATATGGTTAAAGAGAACCAAAATTGATTGACAAAATGGATAAGCCTATAGCATCTCAGGCCAGGGCAGCTCATTCCTTCCGTGTGATGATAATGCTCTATTAAAGAAGAAAGGAAGACCTTTCATTTCCAACTGGGGAGGTCCAATGCATGAGATGCAACAACTGGCCAACAGGACAATTGATTAAGTACTGATTCAAAGGCGAGAGACACCACTTAACTATTTTTTTTCTCTTTTGATAAGAATTTTTGGATTAACAGTTTGAAGAGATTTTTGAATGAAGTTCCATGGTGAATGTCACTAATCAAAATGAGGATTGGTACAATATGCAACCCTGACATGTGCATCAGTGCATCATCTTTGGAAGTACCAAAACAGTTTCAGAATTTTAGACAGCAATTTACAGCCTAAAAGTCATAAGGAACCTCATATATATGTAATAGCAAATTAACAGCTAGTCCAAGCTAGGACTCTATTATCAGTTCCAATTTGTAAACAAACCCAGCCTGTAATCTTTGGAGGAATGAAAAGCATGAGGCTGTTCGGATTTCAGGATCAAGATCTAAACAAGCTTGGGGAGGTTAAAGCATATCATACACAGATGAAGGATAATGGAAGAAAGAGGTACTACAAACCCAAACTAGTTATGGTTAACAATTAAGATTGATTACTAGTGTATTATGAGCTCATAAATTTACAAGTGTTTTTGAATCTATTGATTTCATTCTGGCAATGCACTATAAAAGGAAATAAGAGAGTAATATTTCTCATTTTATTTTGTGAACATGATTTAAAGAAATATCTTTTGATGCTCCCATATTTGTATAATAACATTGAATTTTAGTAATTATTCATGTTACCATATTATGAATCACATGGAATTATTTATAAATTGAAATGAAAAATAAGGCCTGTTTACTTATGGATAAATAATGGGATTTAGTGAGTTTCTTTCTGCACACACCCAAAAAAATGGAACAATTGCAAACTATGTTATCTAAACCATCCCTTAGCAGGATTCTCCAACATTCTTCAAACATACTTTAACTAGTTGGGTAATCACTAATCAGTTACCTTTTTCTTGATTGTGGTATTTCCTTATTTTAACTTGAAATCGCCTATGGTCTTCCTCTTCTAAGAGTCAGCATTTCGGTTTTATAAAAGCATCTATTTGATAACTTGATATGAGTTCAGCTTCGGTTAGTGCAACGCCTATTCAAACAGCCTCTTGAAACCTTGCATTGGGAAAATTCCCCCATGAAATAAAGCACATAAGTATGGAGATATTCCCAAATGCAAGGATGTAAAGGCCGTTACGGGCATTGCACTGACCGAAGCCGAACTCACTTGATATATGGGAAAAAGAACTATTGAGGTTAATTTCTATTCCTTTAACAATCTCCAGTTGAGCATGATTAACCTTCTTCGAACACATTGTTACACCTTATAAATATGAAATGATATACTTTTGTGCGTCCAAGTCACACCATGGAAGAGGAGAGCTGAGAAGGGTATTAATGTTATAACATAAATTTTCTTTTGGTTCATATCACTTGAATTTATGGTTGTACCAGGAATTTTGAAAGTTAACCGCTTCACCTGACAAATAAAGCAATATCTGGGTTGGTTGAAAATTAAAGGGAGGCAGTTCTTCAATCCAAGCCAATACTTTTTTTTAATATCTTTCTCTGTATGGATTCTCTTCTCTAAGCCAGTACTTTTACATCACAAAAGTGTGATTAACAGTAAAGAAAGAGAATCTTGGTGATTCTTTGATAAAATGGATAACTATCATCTTTTCCTAATTAAGATTTATTTTATATTTTTACTTTATTATTAACCTTTTCATTCTTGTCTTTAGTAGAAAAGGAAAAGCTTCACAGACAAAACAAAATGACATCAATAAAGAGGCTTAAGGAAGAAAGAAGAGTCCCAAAACAGATCTTAAATGACATTAAAGGCAACATCACAAAACATATTTTTCCCAACTTGATAGAAATTATGTTTGTCATGATTTGTCAGCTTCCATGAACATGAATCTCACTCAGCCTTAGAACTCATGACATTCTAGTCAATTTTTTGGAACATTTTGTTTCATTTTCGGTAGCATCAAGTTCACCTTCAGTCCCTTATCCTGGTTATCATGATCAATGAGGTTGTCCAATTCTCAGGGCTACATAAGCCATAAGCCTATATCCCACCAGCATCACTGTTAGAGCAGCCACATCCAGTCTCTTGTTATCAAGACCTAAACTCTTTACAGAAGGAAAGTCCATTATCTTGCAATGGACCCCGGTTCCACAGTTGTAGTAATCATCTTCTGTGTATTGTGCTCCGACTAGAAGCTTGTAACAGTAGTGGCTAAAGGAAGAATACTTCAACCAAGCTATGAATGGTGGAATGTGTTGAATGTAATACCCACCAGCTAGGAGGAACACAAGCATAGTAACTGAAGCTAAGGTTGTTGCCTGCTTCACTTCCATTACAATGGCCCCAAGGGCAAGGCCTAGTCCTTGAGAAACTAGCACATTGTAAAGAATTATTAAGAGGGTTAGCATAAAGTTGACAGGGGAAGGCCTGAGACCACCCATCCAGTATGTCACAGCAACAAAGATGGTTGGGAGCACAAGCTCCATTGGTAAATCCCCAGCCATTCGCGCAAAGTAGTAGGATGATAAACGGTACATTCCCGAGGAGCGTTCCTTGATCAGCATCGGTCGCTCTTGAGGGAAAGTGAATATGGCATTGAACATGGGAAAGAAACCCCAAAATATGGAAAAGAAGAACAGGAGTCCCACCTGCCATTGAAAAGAAGCTTGATGACCATGGAGCTTGGTTGAATTAGTATCCTATATATATTGACTTGACAAGTAGAACAAATTTGTAGCTAAAAAGACAACTGAATGGCTCTCAATGTATTACATAGATGAGATGCAATGTGAGGAAATGAAAATAAAAGATAACTTAATTAAGTAATTCAGCAGGGCTTAGCTCTGTACCAAACACCAAAGATGGTCTGTCTCTTCCATATATGAGGAATTAAATTGCACTTTTTCTAGTTCAAAATACAAATATCCTTGTTGTGATTTGTATTTCTTTCTAAAGAAAATATTGGGAAATTTGAGAAAGATGAAGTTAGCAAACGGCAGTGAAACAACTTCATAGTTAAGACATGGGTCACCCTGGTTCTGTTGAAAGGGGGAGGGGGTAGGGTTGAGGTTGATCAGGTCAACCAGGTCTAGTCAGGTTCAAATTGCATTGAGAATGGCCAACCCAAGCTCAAAATGGGCTGGTTGGTGGAGCGGGTCAAGAATTGGCACCCTGTGTCAAATATACAACCCATAAGCTCATGATTTAAAAATAAAAAAAAAGAATAATTTTAGCAAATTAAATTCTGGATTAGTCTTGAAAGAAGAGGAACTCTGCAACTTTTCTGAAATTTCAAAAGAATACCTGATCCTGAACGTGTGAGATATCAGAATGCCACCACAGCAGACCCGAAAGAATTGAAACGGACATGACCTGAAAAATCCTCAGCCCCGAGTAGGATTCATGTTTTCTCTCCTTCAGACTTCTACTCAACAGCACCCTGAATTGCTCCCACCAACTCGTCATCCACTGTTCCTCAGGACCTGAGAGAACTCCCACTTGGTTAGAATTAAGGTTTTTTTTTTTTTTTTCTTTTGAATATAAAACCATTTTTTTCAAGCCTCGGTTCTACAAGGCTACAATCATTGGGTATCTGGATCAAAACCAAGGCGGCAAGGCCCAATTGAATTTAGATTCTGCAGTTAGAATAGAAACTATTCTTTTATCTCATCTCTGTCAAAGTGGGCCTAATGGGCCCTTTTGTCATACCGACAGAAGTTTTATTCTTGTAAAAAGGAAGGATGAAAGAGTGGTTTCTTTACAAGCATGCTTGTTGGTTTGACTTTGTCATATTTTGCATCAGTTCCTCGTCAAACAACGCCTTATGGTAAAATCTTGGGTTGCGTGGCCCACAATTTGCCACGTGTTGTATATTCAGAGGATCGCGAGCCACAATTCAATCGGCCCATCATGGATATTTATTGGGAAGAAAATTAGAGGGAAGCATCATCAAAAGATTCAAAACTACATGTTTTTGGTTCATATTTTTGGATAGCAAGAGAAGTTACTACTAATTATTAAAACACTAAGAAAATTAAGTAAAATTGATTAATCATACGGTTGAAAGCTAATCTCGTTGGCGGGACCCATCCAAGGACGAATCCTGATCTTCTGTATACAGCACATGGCAATATAGGAGTGCACATGACCTAAATTGTTTTAGACGCCTTAGTGGGGAATCAGCTTGAGCCTTGCTTGGCCCAAATCCAACTACGTGGGCTTGTTCTCCTTAGGTCCAAATTCTATCCAACTGAGACAAAAACGAGATTATTCTAAGATGGCAGCGGTTATACACCACAGAGTAAGTAGTGTGATCCTTGTACATGTCGGAATGAGCAGAGTAGAAGTGGGGACGCTCAGATACAGGCCTTGTTCTGCATTATGTGGAATTTAGCCCATGAGCGTAACAAAGGTCAAATGGCCCATGGGCCATGATGGACTGGGCAGAGTATGTTTTAGAGAGAGAGAGAGAGAGATTACACATACACCGGGAGGATGTTTTCCCTGCAACAAAAGCTTCTGGAGCCTGAGGAGTTTGGCACAGCTCAGCCTTTAATACATTGTATAGATTCCTTTTGTATGATGATATCAGATGCTGCTTCATAGAACTCTGATCCTCATGTTCCAACTGGCCATGATTATTCTGTTGATCACGTTGCCTTGTTTCAGGAGCCACGCCTGCATCTCCAACAGTAATCAGAATTGAAATATAAAATAAAAACAACACTTCAAACGAAGAATCAGATCAGTGATGCTACCATACACAAAAGCTCCCAATCCAACGGCTCACATTGTAGGCATTTTTACCAATGGGCCACGTAATAAGTACTGCTGAAGTGGATGAACTGAATTGAATGACTTATATAAATTCAGTTCAGCCAATCCAGCAGGACCCTACTCGAGTCAACAAGGTCTTCTTCCAACTATTGGGCCTGGTCGTACACTAAATTTTGACAGCCCAGTCCTCAGGAAATGGGCTTGAGAATGAAGGTCACGATCAGAATAACTAAAACAATAAATACACGACCGTATGGAAAGTTACGGTGAAGACCAGAAATTCATGCAAGTTTGGTAGAGAGTCATCTCATAATACATGATGTGAACTCTCTTCACACATCGCTCTTTCACAGCAGCCGTACATTTGCATGGATGATAAGAAAGAAGGACGAGAGATGTTCCCGATGTGCGGCTGAAAGCGCTGTCAGTTTGGCTGTCAGCTTGGTTTAAGGAGCGTACTTGTGAAGGCATTTTAGTCATTTTAAACCCCAAATTGATTGATTTTCGTTTTTTTATTTCTTTCCAATAAATGAAGAAGAGATAAGATTGTTATACTCGTACCAGTGGCTAGATCTAGCAGAAAATCAGCTGGATTGACGAGATTAACCCCCGGCATGTAACCAATAGAAACGAAATATTCGAGTGCCCGAGACGCGCTGCCGCTGTATATCGGGCACCCATCCGATAACACCACCAGCTTATCGAACATCCGGTACAGCCGACTCGATGGCTGATGTATCGTCGCCACCACCGTTCTTCCGCTTCTTGCGAGCCCTTGCAATGTTGTCACGATACGCTGAGCGGTGGTGGAGTCGAGCCCCGACGTGGGTTCATCCAGCAACAACAGACTCGGGTTCACCAGCATCTCCTGCCCGATACTGACCCGCTTGCGCTCACCACCCGATACGCCACGCAAAAGCGGTCCACCCACGACACTGTTACGACATCTGGTTAATCCAAGTTCCACGATGACTAGCTCAGCCTGCTCAACCTTCTCTTCTCTTGTAAGTTTGTTGGGTAACCTCAACAAAGCGGCGTAGGTTAGCGTTTCTAGTACGGTGAGGTGGGGATACAGTACGTCATCTTGTGACACAAACCCGATCTTGCGCTTTATGGAGCCAGAGAAGGTATGCCCATTGTAGGTGATGCTGCCGGAGAACTTCCCTGGAAGCCTGCCTGCCAGGGCCGTCAAGAGCGTCGTTTTCCCGCTGCCAGATGGGCCGAGCATTGCTAGGAGGTCGCCCGGTTGGACAACCCCAGTAACGCCGTTGAGTATGGTGCGCTCAGAAGGCTTGGGTTCCGGTGCAGAAAACCAACATCCGCCGGACTTTTTAATCTTTATACTGTAACTCACGTCTTCAAACTGCAAAGAACGAATGCATGTACGACGAAGTTAAAATTCAACGATCCATATTTAACTTGAGAGCATGAAGAGCATAAGCCTCATCTGATTACCTTGAGGGTGATAGGGCGCAACGACCCACGTAGTAGTGAGCACTGGCCGCCCATGGCTGCCTGCAGCTGCTCAGGCATCTGATCCTCCAAAGACGGGCTGACGTTACTGGACAAAGCAGGCAGCTCAGAGCGTGGCATGCCCATGATATTGTCCGAGCTGCGATTCACAGCGGGGACATTATTGTTAGACGCATTAGTACTGATTCCAAGCTCTTGCTCAGGGGGACGCATCATCTTGTCTAGAGTAGTCTACAGAGGTGACAGAGAAAACAAATTAAATGGGTTTTGAAGGCAAAGATGAAGTAAGGTTCCAACCCTTTATATATGCACACACAGAGAGAGAGAGAGAGAGAGAGAAAGAAGAGGAGGAGAGAGAAACCAAAACTTAAATGCTCAAATAGTAGAAATTAGAGAGATCACATGCACAAACAGAACATGTGATCCCGAAAGTGAACAAAGGCACGAGAAACAAATCATGTGTGACTCAAGTCATATAACAAAATTAAACCCAACAAGAGTTTTAGGAAATCAATGTCTTTTTTCCCATTTTCTTGGTAACATAACACTAACTAATGAATACAGTACTGATTTAACAAACCCGAATACCCGATTGATTTATTCGGGTTTTGGTGGTTAAACCAATTTACTTGAATGTATCAATCTTAGCCTTAGGTGGCCACCCAGCCGGACCCGGTGTACCTAGGAAGCATTTCAAGTGGGCATGTACTAGCTGGGCTGTAAAATGGAAGCTGGGTTCTGCCTTGCATCCATCCATGAACATGCATGTTCACATAAGACCCGACCCGGTCGGGCCACTCTTAGACCCTAGAAAGCTTAATGTTTATATATTTTGATTGGAGAGGTGGTATCTCCTTTCTGATGTGTCCAAAGTGAAAGTGCTGGTTCTCTCATATCCTTTCTACGTGTCGTGTGGAAATTCAATAGGGAGATAGTGGCCGAGATTGTGTCGTGTTTCCTGAAAAGGCTAGGTTGAAGGTGGTGTCAGCATCAAAGAAAGTTCATGCTCCAAAAGATATATTCGATCGTGGAATCATTAGGCACCTTGTGCTCGCTCCTTTGTAATTGTATGGAAGCCGGAATTATCCCCCCACCCCGCCCCTCGCGCCCCCGGTAAAACCATTAAGCTTGCTCTCAATTACTAGGTAAACTCAATTCCATGATGATGTTCATGCATGCATGGACATCACATCACATCACATCGCATGGTATCATATGTCCATTGCATCCAAAAGTGATCACCCAACAAAACGGGTAGAGTCCGACCCGACCCGGGTCCATCAGTGACCAGATGGTTCAGTCATAATCCCAGTTTTCATCAACCTACACAGTTAAATGCGCTACTGTTGAGTTGTATGACCTGACCTGTTCAATAGGTCATCTGAATTTTCGTGTCAGCCTTTAATTTTTTGTAATGATCACATCACAGATTTAACCCATTGACTCGGAGAGGAAAACTGTTCAATCTCTGGGCCGGATTTAATACACTGGACACAATACATTTCCAAGAGATTAAGCCATGTTAACTAACGGATTGTGTATGTAAAATTTAAGGTATGCAATTGATTGTGTCAGAGTAGTAAGGTCAGAGATTCGGGGGGTGCCTTAACAAATCGCTAATTTGATCAAATTAATAAAATTTGAATTTAATGTGTGAACTAAGTAATATCTAAGAATATGTCATGATAGTTCGGCGTCAAAAAAAAATGTCATGGTAGTTTGGATAATTTCTTGCTTTTCAGTTTTGGGATGTGAGAAACAAAATGAGCGGAAAGAGTGTTGTGGACGTTTGGTAAGAAGCAAAAAGTAACAAGTAAGAATTGCTTTTAAAAAACATAATAATCTAAGTGCCCATTTGGAAGAATTGAAGTGCGGTGGTTTTTAGCTTCTAAGGTGGGCACCACATGAGGCCATAAACAATGTATAGTGTAAAATTCAGAAAGCCCAAATCGAGCAGTTTAATTAAGGTCCCCTTTGCCATGTCTTTTTGTGCAGTCTGGTGGACCATGATTCGGTCTTTTTCAGTTTGGTTTACGATTATCTAGCCATCAAAAGTCGATGCATCGAAAAGACACAAGAAACTCAAATCGAGCGATTTTCGGAAAGCTCCAAACAGAGCTTTTACATTTTTTTTATTATTATTTGTCTTTGCATAGAAAGACGTGTGGAAAGACATGCTTTAACCAAATGGGCTTCAGGCTGCTCAAATCTTAATGCAAAAGTTCAATGCATCTTTTAACTGTTAGAGCTATTAGAAGATCTTTTCAAAAAGACTTGTCAAACGATACCTAAATTTTCAGTTCACCCTTCAAAATAAACCCTAAAATCAAAACACTTTTAAAGCTCCAAATCACAAATAGCTTATCCAAACGCATCCTTTATCTATGACGAGTCTTCTACAATATCACTTGACATGTGTGTCTGGTATTTGTTCGCCATCAAATTGGATTAATTGGCTTAGCACAAAAGCTAGGAAAGATCATAACTTAAGCACAAAATTGTACCCACTAATGGCTACATGGAACAATTACAACTGATTAAAGAAAAAAATATTTACAAAGAAGAACATCTCAAATTAAGAATGGGGGGTCCATCTTATAGAACCTGCCGACCATCTAAATTCTAAAGTGGGCATTTTGACGATCTTTTCCTTTTAAAGCAAAAAACCTTCTTCAATGTCAGGTTACAATGAACATTCAAACCCATCAATCTCTCTTTTTATTTTTTTTTTCACAAAACTTTTGACTTGATTAGCGATATGCTATATGATCTCCCTTTGGAATCTGCACTATGCTTTCCCGACCATTACCATCCAGAAGAAATAATATCATCATTTCTCTTTATCCCTAATAATGCTAATTCCTCCTTGGATGATTCTGATCGAGACTCCTTTATTTCAACTTCATAGCCAGTCATTTAGAAGGAAAAAACCATAACCTTATCAGGCAGCATGCAGATTGACCCATGAACCTATTAAACCAGTTTATACCAACCGTGGATGTTTGGTACCGATGATGTTTATTTTATAAACGTTTTCTATGATTTTGTCCTGAAAAATTAGACATGACACCTCAGCGCCATATAAGCCAAACATTAAAATACGGCCTTGAAAATGATAAACATTAGGGGATGTTTGGAACCATAACTGTTTTTCAAAAAAACGGTGTTACGTCGGATCCACATAGGTGTTTCGACAAACGTCCATGTATTTCATGGTTTGGTTCAACCGATTATTAAAAAATCGGGCATGCCTCAAAAATCGGGACCCAATCGATGCATGAAACGCCAAATTTGGTGTTTCATGCATCGGTAAACCATTTCCCCCAACGATTGACTGATGTGTACCCTATGTGGTACTTATCTATCAACACATACATGAAAAACGATGATGAAAATCACCTTACCAAACAGCGTAGTGTTGCTCACTACCTACATAGCAGAAGCGTTTTTTTTTGTGAAAAATGGATCTTAGAAGCATAGGCATTTTTCTTGAAAATCGGTCCCAAAAAGCGCCCACGCTTCCAAATACCATGTAGATTTGGCGCTTTTTGGTAAACGACTCTCACGAAAATCAAGAGACATGTTTATCCGATAAACTAGTGAATGACCCCTTACTAAGTACGCGGAGTATGGGGAATTGGTAATGTTAAATTTACATTATGGAATCATTAATGTTAAGTTTACTAGCAACTTTTCAAAAAAATGCCACGTGTCTAGCTTTCCAGAAATCTCTGGACACCCCGAGGTATAGACACCTCAGGGCAGCCAGCTCGGTAAAACTTGCTACAGGCAGCTCCTCGCTCAAGGGACAACCCGGCGCAAGGTAATTCGTGGAAGGGTAGTTCAGTATACCACAGGAAGGCTTCCTGCTCGACCACCGCACCCGACAAATCTGGGACAGTCGCCATGTCCCTTGCTAGATAGTGTCGTGCCTGCCACCTCTAGAAGGTGTCTTGTGCCTGACAGGCACGTACCCTGCAGGGACGATCTCGCGCGTGCCACCTCAGCCCTGTCTGTAACGGTTGTGGCAGGTTGACAGTGGCGGTTGTACCTACCCAGTCAGAGGCTAGTGGGTCTAATGCAACGGAATTCTGTTATAAGCGGCCTATTATCAGAGAACAGGGGTATCTTGAAATCTCTTGCGCTACCTCACTCTTAGCTTTTATCTTGTCTTTGCTTCTTGCTCAGAATACTGACTTAATCGTCGGAGCGTTCCCGTCGGGCGAACCCCCCTAGGGATTCTTCTTCTTCCTCATCTCAGGTACCTCTCGGGAGCCACGCGAGTGCCAGTTAGGAGTGACCGGATTGTGCACCATCATTTGGCGCCGTCTGTGGGAAACGCTTCAAAAGGCCTTTCTCTAAAACTTCACAGTTCTTTCTTCCTTGAAAAAACTCAACACTCATGGCTTCCTCAAGCAACGTTGGACGAAGCATGGAGATGAATAACTCCAGGGAACAACCCCAGGTTCCCACGGTATGCATAGGGCAGTTCACCATTCCTTTCTTGGTGGACAGAATCCCCAGCCTGAACGTGTCGCGAGCAACGGTGCCTGTGGGTGCTCCCCTTCCTTCCTCTATAGAAACGACCTTTGCTGAACCAACTGTCGTTCCTCGAGCGGCCAGCCAGAGCCAGCTCGACGACCTGACACAATGCATGCGGGCCATGCAAGCCCAAGTGCAGCAGCTCCAGCAACACCAGCTCTATCAGCAGCAAGTGTTGCACCACATCTCCCAGTACCACAACCAGCAGTAGTTCCCCCAGCTGCCTCAACCTCAGCTTCAGCAGTCGTAGCTCCCACCTCGACACCCAGCCTCACAGTGAGCTAGGTCTCACCGCCAGGACAAACGCCCCTCTTGCCAAGGAGAAGCCCCTCAAAATCCTCCTAAAAGCCAGGCCTCCTCCCGTGGCAGACAAGAGAGACCGGCTACCCTGGTCTTGCCGCAGACGGTCAGGTCGGGAGGACCATAGCTCGCCAGGTCTACATCACCTCGGCAGTCGAAGTATGAAACCCCGCTCCTTGAGAACCGGTTTGAGATCCTAGCAGCAGACTCCAAGCAGGATCCCTCTGTCCGCAGCCATCACCAGCGGCCTGAGCTACTTCCTGCACAAACCATTCCTAGACAGCACGGAGGTGAGCAACACAAACGCCGAGCCCGCCAAGAAACAAGGACGCTGCCGCCGAGCTCGCCGGTCTACCACCCACAGCCTACCCGAGCTCGAAGGCAAAGAAGAGGTAAGCTCGGGCGAAGTCAAAGCTCCCCTCCTTTCAGTTCCATCCCCCCTGTCTTCCAAACTCCTGGTAGTCCCAA